TTATTCTTGACTGATGGTGTAATCTCTAACACTGAGTCGTGTACTAAATGTAATGCTGCAAAATAATATAATTCAAAATACACGATGTTGTTGAAGCTACAGATCTCCCTATTCGATCCAGTACAAGCTTGATGAGGCGAGGAATGAATTTTGTCTAGATTCAACTTGATCCCGTGAACCAACTACTCTGGTTACAAACTTCCAACCCGATTTGTGACCGAGGATTGTTTAAGAGGTAGCCTCTAATAGTTACTTAAAGAGCGTACTTTGCTTCCTTCTGATTTCAGTCGCAAGGAAGACTGCGCATGTAGAATAGCCTATGGTAATCACCATATACATGTTGAGATTGAAGTGGAGCCCTAGGTCAGAGTACAGGACTAGCAAAGAATACAGGAAGAAAACGAGTAGAAGATGAACGCTCTTGCCTGGGCTTCGCATTCGGCAAATCGTATGCAGACGTATCGAAACAGTAGACCACGTTGGGTGTGGTGCAGTAGGAACGAAATTGTCGCGTCGTGGCGAGAGAGCCGTTGTGCGCGAAGGAGTGTAGCAGAATGCAGCGGCAAGTGAGAAATTCAGGAACAGAAGAACTAACAGAAAAATCATGCCTGAAGTAATAATCGCACATCTATTGAGCTGTATGATGTACGCTAGAACTGTTATAACGAGGCAAATGGTCCGCGACAGCCGCGTGCGACGGATCGGTTACACAAAACCGCTTCTACTGCCCGTCACCATGTTTAGTTGCTGTAGAAGGCAGCAAACGCCCCAACCAATCGCCCTAAAACTCGGCATGCAGCCTAGTTTGTAATTAAGTTAGATTTTTGTAATTCATAGCTTTGCAAAAGTTATAAAACGTATCATATCTGCTGCTCCGATGCAGAATCCCTTCACTGTGACTGAAGAGAGATAATTAGGGTGAAGGAAAGGAAGAGTTCCGATGAATGAGTCTTGAAAGGCGGCATTATCTATTAGTAATGCAGGAGGATGATGGATCTCTGGTATGTTAGGAGTTATCTCAGGTGTCAACATGCTAAAATATTTCCGCTGCAGTTCTAGGTATCATCTTATAAATAAGGCAAATACAAGATCAAAAACGAAAACCATCAGACGGGTATAATGGACAGCTTTGGGAATGTTGTGTGCTGCTTAAAATACAACAAAGATTGGTGACATTCAAGTCTAAATGCTTAGCGATTTACATTTTGTGTCTGGAATTAGAGATTTTGAATCGAGCACTAATTCAATACATTAACAGACAGATTCATTACGTTTTTCAGGTGGTACGTAAGAAAATGTGTAATGTCACTTTGTTTATGTGAAAATTACCGAATTTCTGAGCTGAGGGTGCTGGCAATCGTGGCTGTGGTACTATCAAAGATCCGAATGCAAATGACGCTCAATGTTCTGATGTTGTTGTATCGAAGTTAGTTGTTTGGTGTAACACCGAGTAATCTCTCCAATGACTGTGAGACCGTTAGAATCGTAAGAAAGGGGGCTGAACGAGAATGAGATCAAAAAAAAAAATGAAGAAGAGTGGAGCGTTTGGACGAGCTATACGATGCGTGTCATTGCAAGCAAAAATTCATTTACTCAGAAGCATAGGTTAACAAAAAAAACCCTAGTAACAGCATTAATAGTTCACCTTCGTCAGACTCTGAGGAAGAAAATCAGAACAAGGATCGCAGAAGCAAAAAGAATAAAAGAGAATAAGAGTATGGGACAGAAACATCGCCTCATCACTCGGCGATCAGCTGTTTGTGCGTGGGCCCTAGAACGAATATTGCAATCTCTATCGCCTCGACACTCGTCTGACGCGACATCGATCGAGGGGCGGGAAGTCCGGGCGATCCCGTAATCAGTATAATTGAAATTGTATACGACGTGCCAGTTTTCCTTATTATGTTTAGCCCGATGGCGCACCTTATGTGCACAATAAATGAATAAATATATAAATAGATGTTCAAATAATCAACTTATTGGGCTGTTGGAATACTACTACTCATGTTTATTTATTATTATTTATTATAATCTGTGAGTTATTTATTAGCTTATGCTTATTTGCTCACACACTTCTATACTTCTGCAACTGTTGTGGAAACTATCGGCTTTCTGCGGAACAAAAACAAATAGTTTTGGTTTTTTTGTTAAAACTTCACATTTTTGCATCTTGATATGTTGGTGAGGGACCATTATGGAGCTGAACCTTTCTCAAAGGTATGTATTACTGTGACAGCGCGAAGACAAAGGAAAGGAACTACATACTTTCACTCCATGCCAAATCATCTAGAAGGCTGTTAGAACAATAACATTAGTCAAAGTCGGAAGTAGCACTCACTGTGATAGTGATGTTTAGAGTAATACTGAATAGGTTTGGTTCAAACTGTAACTAAAGCGTTTCCTATGGGGCACGGTGAAGTAGCTTCAACTCCACCGTAATCATAGGTACACTAAATCACAATTTTTTCACGACCCCTACCATCTCCACAGCGATTTGGCCTAGCTCGTCGAGGTAAGGTCAGGTGAAGCTTGATTTCATCAATTGTTCACATTCAAGGCACAATCGGCGATAATGGTTTTGGCCATTTCATACTAGTAGCAATGTGGGATGTCTACGTGGGAGCAGAATGAGATCCGTTGTATATACAATTGGTGGTGCCCACCAATAGCTCGTATTATTTTTTATGAAATTTATCCACTTATTCGTATGCTATATAAGGCAATACCAAAAAGGCAACATAAAAAAACAATTCCAACAAACTAAATGAGGGCAGCAACAAGGCAGATAGCGAGTTTTTAGGAGGATGTCTACACAGTCCTTTACAGCAGAAACGAGCGCTCCTTTGCAACATGTGAAGTCTCGTCCGAACAGCACGTTCGTCATGTGAACTCTGAAAACCCAAATTCGTTGTCTAGTCGTCGTTATCGAACTGGTTGAAAAGGACTGTACATTTCGCGCTTCAGCGGATTTTTTCTTCAGTCTCGTCTCCGACAGGCTATACTTCATCGACACTTTCTTCCTGTAACAGAAAAAAGGCAAAGGAAGTTGTCTAGAACTGTGCTTCCATTGCAAGTTCAAAAAGACGGTCCAATAGTTCAAAAAAAAAAAAGAATGTCTCATTTAACTGGAAAGCTATGTATTGATTTCTGAAATTGCCAGGCTTTCCGTTTGCCAGCAGCGGAAGAATGATAAATGTTCGTCACTTCTCGAAAATTTGTTGCGAATGGATCAGTACTACTGCGTGAATGGCAGTAGCAGTTGTAACAGTTATAGTACAACTGATGACGAATTCTCCAACGAATATAAAAGAAGTGCCATCGACCTGGTATTCAACCATTCCCTTACGAATGCTTTCAATGAATTTCTAATTCCATAGGATCTCCATCTGGCTCCTTTAATGAAATTCTGATGTTTTAAATTTCTTGAATTTCAAACAATTCTATCAGATAAAATAAAAATAAAATTATTAGTTCTAACGGATGAAATGTCATTCCATACTTTTTGTCGTTCCTTTCACAGGATCAGTTAATTTTTCCAGTCACAGGACCAGTTAATTTTTAGAAAAAATGGGAATAGGGGCTAACGGGATTTCGGTGCTTCCATCAGAAAGATTTCCAAAGTCGTGAATGAATTTCTCGGAACACTTGCTTAATTCTTGAGATTGTCTCTTACAGGAGACTTGAAAGGACATTTTTTTGCCCAGAGCAATGGGTACACCAAACGCTTGTAAACCAACAGTACAATTTGAAATTTAAATGAAGAAAAGGGGAGAGAGATTTTTGAGAGTTTTAGTTTATTCTCCTCCTTTTCTTCTCCTTTTGGCTCCCACAGTCGGCAGCGCACACTACTGAAAGGGTGGTTCTAGATAATGTCCTAAGAACTTCCTTACATTGTCTCCTCCAATATCCAAATCGACGCTCAGGTGATAAGTTAAACATCAGAGGTATCATGTCGAGTAGATTTACAACAGTTTCCACATACAGTACGGAATGAACATAAATTTTTGTACGAACAAAGGCGGTTGTCTGAATTTTTAAACACCACAGTAGGGTTCAAAGTTTGTCCTGACCATTCTCAACAAATGGTTCTGATAGGCTGAGTTTGATCCAGTTCGTTGAAAAAGCCTTTTTTACTATTGTGATTACTATTACAAAAACAAGCACTATTTTCCTGATTCAGGCGAATAATGCACAGACTCTCTGCAGTTCTCGTTTTCCTTCAACTGCTATCTAATTGTTTTGCAAATCCAGTAAGTTGATTATTCATTCTAAAATGACACAAAGAGTTTTCATTCAGAATTAAATACATTTAGCTGCCTGAGAGGTGCCTATCTTAAATTGTAACAACTATTGTGAATATTATAGGAGAGGTGCCTATCCCAAAGGCACAGTGCACGATAGTTTTCAGGTACCCTTTTTCAGTTAAAAAGTGGAAGCGTTGATGTAGAACAGTACATTAGTGGCGAAGAAAGCGAGAAAATGTACGAGATCAACACGGGAATGGTACGGAAGGGCTATTTGGACTAGTTTTCATCTGTTGCAATTATGCAAAGAGCTGACTACATCAAGCCAATATTGTCCGAAACTGCCTTCCACTGGCGCCGTGGAACACGACCAGTTGTTTGAACTCCCCACATGGGTTCGCTTTCAAGTTTGCAGCACCTACAACACCGTTGAAACTCGTCTGCTGTGGGTGTGGCATTCACATGATGCAATGTCTGCTCTTTACTGTGCCCTATCCTGGGCTTTTCTCCGCCTGAATTTGTTCATATGTATCAGAAGGGGCCTTGAATTCATCCTATAGGGATATCTAAGAAACCATTTTCATCGTGAAGTGTGCCTTTAACTGAACACAGTGTTTGGTGTGAAATTGAATATTGTTCGAAAAAAAGCTGCCAGAGCCAAGACGGAATCTTTTAAAAAATAAGTACTCAAACTTTTCAAGATAAAGTTTATATTCTGCTAGGGTTCCTCATGCGGTAGCTGTCTGCAAATGTGCTATGCTGGATGCGGATCAGGAAGCTGTAACTGCCAGAAGACTTGCGGTGGCGTGTGCGGAGGCGGAGCAGCGGTCGTCGGTGGCTATGTAAGTGCTTGCAGTGAGAGTCGAAACTTATAAGTCTGGTTCCTCTAATGGAAGAACGGTGAGACATATGAAAATATTACTTTTCAGTGAGCTACACAAGATGAAGGCGCCCTCACACGCTTCGCATTCAGCTGTGCTTATTTTAATTCACTTCTTTGCTTTGCAGGCTTCTTGTAGCACTTGTCTACAGTCGTGCTATGCTGGGTGTGGATCAGGAAGCTGCAACTGCCAGAAGACCTGCGGTGGCGTCTGCGGAGGCGGAGCAGCGGTCGTTGGTGGCTATGTAAGTGCTTGCAGTGAGAGTCGAAACTTATAAGTTTGGTTCCTCTAATGGCAAAGGGGTGAGACACATGAAAATGTTACTTTTCGAAGAGCAGCAAAAAAGTAACCGCACGTATACGCCTCACAATCAGTTGTGTTTATTTTGATTCACTTCTTTGATTTGCAGGCTCTTCATAGAGTTGGGTATAAAACCTCCGTGTAACTTCCTCCATCTCAAATCTCGATGTTGTAAGTGCTCCGTCCTCCTTCGTCCTTGTTGTATAGTTGATTAGCTATACAGGGAGAGGAGACTACTGGGGGCAGCCTTGAACAGAACTGTCTGAGAAAATGTCATCGGGATCTTCAGGACCACAGTATTCCACTTTCGTGTTTGAAGAAGGAGGACGGAACAAGTACAACATCAAGACTTGAGATGGAGGAAGTTACACGGAGGTTTTATACCAACTTGTACCGATCCACGACACACGTGTGAAAACCTAAAATCCCCACTGGCGGAACAGCACCTCGAATCCTTCCTTCGGAGGTGAGAGTTGCCATCGCGAGCATGAAAACGGGCACAATTCTAGGCCCCGACAAGATCTCAGCCGACCTACTCCGTGCAGGAGGCTACGAACTTCATGCGCTTCTCGCAACACATATGAATTCTACCTCCAGAAGGAGAAGATCCCCAACCAGTGAAGGAACTCGCGGATGGTCATTCTTCACAAGAAGAAAGACCGCGATGATCTTCGCAATTACCGCCCAATAAGTTTGTTAAGTGTGTTTCACAAGCTATTCACGAAAATCATTCTAACTCGCACATCGCGAACGCTGGACGAAGCTCAACCTGTAGAGCAGGCCGGATTCCGGAAGGGATTCAGTTGTTAAGACCACATGCAAGCGGTCGCAATGGTCATCGAAGTGTGCCGAGAATTCCGAATGCCTTTGTCGACTATGAAAAAGCTTTTGACAGCGTC